CAACCACCCCAGCCAACCCAACCTATCTTGCAAGAATTGTTTTTGGAGATGGAGGTCTCCCTCAACCATGGGTTTCTCTCCCAGCCTGTACTATCATCAATAATTTCAGCAATAAATTAGCCTTCTCTTACATTACAATAAAGCTGAAGTTGGTCCATTTAGTGCATTATTTCACAGAGTAAAAGGAGATTGAGTCAAGAACTTAACTTGGCGTATGGCTCTTACTAGACAGTACTCAGTTATGCTGCAGCATTTTCACACATTATGACAGTTTGGCTCTCGGAAATAACACGACACAAGTTTTTGCATGGGTGGGAGTGTACATGACTCACATAATCACAGTATGTTTTCTGCTGTTATTGCTTTTGTGGTGGCTCTTTCTAGCTCACAGGCACAATTTAAGTTGCCCCCAGAATCCCAGAGGTAAGACCCTTTGCAAAACTTCCTATTTACAATGGCAAAATATAGGCATTATCCAGAACTATATCAGAAAGATGACAAGTGAGACGGGGTTAGAAACCCTCACAAATGCTCAAGAGACCAGTTTAGTCTCTTCTGTGAGCCCTCTCCAAAGGCATTAAGGAACAGTTTCTTAAACTCTATTTCTGCTGTAAGTCTCTAGGACTAGCAAAAGACCTGCAAAAATCTAAATACTGTGTTTTTAAGAATGAAGAGATTCTTGGCACTAGTTGAAACTAAAAGGACTCTCTTAACAGCCAAACATGATGTGTCATCCTTGAATTTTAGCTTTCCTTTTTTTAAGTCCTCGTTTGAGGGCATCTGATGGGCAGACTGTCACACCTAAATAACTTGAGCCATTCTACTGTCATACTTGGCTGAGACACATAAAGTGCAAACTTCATGTAAGTTTGTTCATTTCTCAGATATGGTATGATTTTGTATACCAGTTCCTTTTCTCTTGAAGGAATGACTGATAGTTGTAGTAATTGCCCGCTGCTTTCCATCATGACCAACATGTTGAGCACTGGAGAGCTGAGCCTGTAGCCACATCAGGCTGAATGTATTCGGTGAGGTTCAAAGCTCACAAGACTCAGGGGGGATTTAAAATTGAAAGCTCAATGAAATTGAATTATTAATAATAACAGCCATATGTGATGACAAATCGGATATCTGAGAATTCAGCTTGGATGGTGACGAAGACCAGTTCTTAACTTCTCTCACACCTGAGATACCTGACAGTGTGAGTGACTCAAAATCTACTTCCTTTGGAGGCTTAAAAACATGTTTTTCTCAGCTGTTGTTTCACCCTGATTTCAAACAATTTCTGTGTGAACCCCAGATACCTCTTACTTCCAGATGCAATGAATAGCTATCAGTACATGTTTGGTACACTCTGAAGAATAGTCAATACTTCTGTTTATGACAACGTCTTCATTTCTCTGAACATGCAACTTCTGACCTTGCAATGTTATCCTACTCACCTGCAGTTGGCACATCTTCCACCATGAGAGAAGTGTGAGCACTTTTAGTTCCTTCTGCAGTCAGATGTGTACTTGGGAATTCGGTAATCACTGAAACAACATAAAAAGTAATGCTTATAAAGATCACTGATTAGGAGGGTCTTCATATGGCATTCAAAATTGTTTGCACAGTTCTGCATCTGCAACTAAGAGGTGAAAATCTGCACCTTGGTTTTCATGTCTGCAGCTCATCCTACTCAGATAACTGATGTACTTTACTACCATGGCCAGTGGTTAGATGTTTTAATTGTTCAGCTGTGGATGTAATTAATTGTTGCCTAGTTTAACTGAGGCGCGTTGTGATGGCTGGAAGACAAAAGTTGGTACAGAAAAGCTGTCCTCAGAGATTCAGGTCAGAAAGAACTTCAAGTGATAGAAGACCCAAAAAATGTACAAAAAACAGCCTTGTGTGCAGACATCAATCTGGAAAAGAAGACACTGATGTGGATGAAGTAGCAACCTAGGAATGACTAGGATGATAATAGGTCACTCTGATCAACTAAATATTAATAATAACAGCAGCCTTCATATGGGATGACAATGTAAGTACTCTATTTTAAGCATGTTTTGAATTCTCACTGACTTTATTGCTCAAGCAGAACATGCTCTAAACTAACCTTTTCAGCAGACCATTTCAATTGTCTTTCCCAAATCAAGAAAAAAATTAGTGCATGGTTCAGTGAACCTCTCTTACTCCATCCCAGGTGCAGGACTTTGCATTTATTTCTGTCATACTTCATGAGGTTTCTGTCACATTATTTCTCCAGCCTGTTAAAACTCCTCTGAATGCAAGCCAGAGCTTCTGCTATCTTGGCCATTCACCCCAGCTCGGCATCATCCACAACATTTGACCTGTGTTTCCTTAAACCTACTGAGACATACGTATAGGCATCTTGGAGAAAACTTCCCAGATACAAATATAAGTATCATCTGGAGAGTCTCTATGATGCCAGAGTCAGGCTAACGCAGACCATCTCTGCTACACAGAAAAAAGAAAGGATTGGTGCTGGTTACCCTTTGTACCTGCAGGAAGAGGGACAGACTCCGCTGAGCAGAACACGTCGTCATCTTCAGTCCTCACGTCAGCTGCTTGGAAACCAGTTGGAAAATCTGGGAGAGTACTGATTGTCACCAGGGTTGCTGGAAAAGTATCATTTTCTGTCACAGCAAACGTTGGGGGTGCAATGGTCTCCAGTGTAATTACTGCTGGAGACTCGGTCGTTGCAGTTGTTGCTGGGGCGACGGTGGTTGTCAGGAGGACAGCAGTCTCTGATGTTTCTTGATGATCAGAGGTTGCTTGGGGAGCAAATGTTGTTTTTCTAAAAGGTTTGCGGGAAACGGGAGCCTTTCTCGTGGTGGTTCTCATCACTGGAGGGGCTGTGTGATAAAAACATAGCCAAGAGAAAAGCTAGATCAGACCATTCACAACTGACCCTGAGGAAAGCCAACCCAGAAATGAATGAAAATTATCTAGCTGCTAAAATACTGAGAATGAAGGTGGGAGAGTCACTATTTAAAAAGGTTGTTTAATTAGCAGAAAACATGCCCCAGCCAGAGCGATTCCCAGATTAACAGATTTGCCTTTTTTTCTTTTTGTAGGTCTCGAACACGCCCTCCTCGACCCTTTTACAGAAACGGGAGGACCAGAACCTTCTGTGGTAGAACTCAAATACTTGCAAACTTTGTGATTTTGCTTTTCAATGTCCTCATAAAACCAAAATAAATTTTAAAAAAAAGCTTGATTTTCAGCTACAAGCTTCTTGCTAAACTTTTCAACCGATCCTTTTTTATGAACTCTGTTGCCCTCAAACTCAGGGATAGACATGGGATTGCAGCATTTTTCCCCCACTCCTGTTATATTGCTTACAAAATGCATACAAGACTGCTGTGTACATCATCACCAATTGCACTCCTAAACACCCTGTAAAAGTCAGGAAAAAAATTGTCGTTCTGCAGTGTGGAGGGTGGGTACCATCTTTTTTCTGTGCTTTGCAATGCTTTTCAGCCTCTTCTCGACTTTGTCAGACCCTTACTTTATCCTGCAGCTCAGCAAAATAATAGGAAGGGGAAAAAGTCCTTCAAGACTCTGAGACAAAATTTCTAAACATGTGGGTCTCCTTATGACATGAACCAAATGAAAGCCTTTTTGGTGTTGGGGTTAACCCCAAATGAAAAACTGAATTTCATTCCAAGGGCTCTTCAAATGATAAAACCCTTTTTTGATTCCATCATCTTTTAAAACATCAAATATAGCTACACAATGAGAAATTAAATATTTTATTTGAAAGGCAAAAAAAGGGTGAAAGTTACTATTTTCTCATCAAAACTGCTTATTGAATATAATTCAAATTGGCAACTGGTTGCAGACCTCCCTTCAAAACTGCGTAATTTAGGAAAAACAATTTTTCCCAAAACAAACAAACAAACAAACAAACAAACAAACAAAGCACAGATAAACTCCAATTTTAAACTCCTATCCAGTGAGAGGTTTATCCCTGCTGGCTGTATCACGAAGGTCCCCAAACTCACCTCTGACCACTTCCAGCTGCATGTTCTGTTTGATGTCGTTGAACCAGCCCGGGATCTCTATGCGGCAGCAGTATGTACCCGCATCTTCTGCCTTCACTTTCCCAATTGTGAGAGACACATCTCCATAGGAAATATAGCCCCGGAGACTGTATCTCTGAGATTTTCTGAATGTCACCCTATTCCCAGTGGTGTGCAAAATTTTGTTATTGCACTTTGAATTTGGGCAGGGGCCTCTGCCCCAGCACATATCGGAGATGTCCTTATGTCGTGCCACCTGGTAGAAGCAAGGCAACTGAACAGGTTGCCCTATTACTCCTCTAACAACGGCTTCGGATGCTGTGTGCGCTGTCAAGGAAGAACAAGGAAAGATGAGTGTTGGCAGTCTCCAATGCGTGACTCTACCTATGCAACACAGTAAGTCTGGAAAAGAAACACTCCTGCCTGCAGGCAGGCCACAGTTACTGATCCCCCAAGCCTTCCCCTGGAGCCTGTGGCAGCTAATGGCCCGGGGCACTATGGGCAGCAGCCAGGAGCTCGCAGACATTGGCTTGCTGCTGGAGGGCTCCATGCTCTGGCCCTGGCCAGCTGCTGGAGGGCTGCTCACGAAACACATCGCTCACGTCAAACACCTGGTGAGTGAAGCTGAGGTCTGTCGCTGGCAGCCCGAGCGCAGACTAGACCTGTGCAGATGGAATTTGGGAACTCTGCTCCCATCCCATCCCCTCTCCTAAGAGACTGTTTGAAAGTTGTTCAGAAACCTGGTGTGAAATACATCTGGTTTTGTCAGTCCACCATCATCTCCCTCAAAAAGAAAATGCTGTCATAGTTGCCTTTCACTGACAGTCTCAATAGCAGGGTCTTTGGACCCTATTCATGTGTGAAATTAGGGCCTAATTAAGCTGGCAGAGCAGTGGGATCTGTCTATGGGAACCTGTTCTCAGAAAGTGCACTACTTTTTCTGTTTCTGAGCAAGCCCTGCCAACTATCCCACTTACCTTGCAGAGCACTGTGTACACAGAAGCTTTAACTGCTAGCGTTATACTGATGTTAAAAGGAGCATATGCATGCTTTCCTTGTGCTCTTACTCTTAATGACCAGCTTTACTTGGTGTTTACAGCCAATACCCACCTTAGCATCTGGTTTGAATCTTTGCTACATATTGTTCCCTCCTAACTGTCTATGCAGTTCCCGGATTGCCCTAAAAGGGATTTCTTCTTCATGAAAAGCACTATACGAAAAAGGTTCCCATACAGGAACAAATCTTTTCTGGTTTACATTCATCTAGTCTGTGTCGGTCCTCCTACCTTGTTGCCTTTTTCCCCCATGTTATCATTTATATACGGTGGAGCAGGAACTGAGGGACCGGATCTGGTCCTCTGCTGCAGCAAGAGGATCATCCCGCAGATCTGATGTCTCATGGCCAGCTTGCTTACCCCAAAAAGGACTTAGAGCAGTTGCTGCTATTACAACCAGCTTTGGCCCTGGTTGGCCAAACACTTCTATTTTTCCAGCTGTTTGAATGCCTTTTCTTTTTGGCATGACTCCCAGATAGCAAACAGATGCTTCCAACTGTGTCCATGTCTCCTTTGTTTTGTCTTTAATGGACTATTCCCCAGGTGAGGTTTTAGTCTGTGGCAGGCTGCCTCATGACTTGTTATTGGGATGACATTTCAGTTTCATGATTGCTTATCCCATTGGCAAGATAAGCCAACTCATTCAGGTTTCCACAGCTCCAAATGCTAAAAGAGTAGAGGCAGACAAAACAGCATGCAATATGGTGTGAAGGGCAGAAGCTTTTGCAGTGAAATGAAAGTAGGATGTGCCAAAAAATGAATTCCTGAATACAGGATAAGGCTTTGCAAGATGGCTGCTTGTTTTAGTCCTTGGAAAGGGTAGGTTCATTTGCCTTGTTACAGCAAAACAAACAGAGAAAACAGCCTCTTTCTGTGACAACAGAACAAAACAGTTCATCCAGTTGCCCCTGAAAGTATCCCTAGGGGAGCAGGGGGTTAGTTACTGAGTGGGTTAACACATATTTTCAAGTCACCCCAACAAAGATGTGTGCAAAACCAAGACCAGCTTGAACTGTTCCTGGAGTTAAGGTCACTGCTGCTTGAGGAGAAATGGGCTCATCTTCTCTTCTTATTTCATCCCAGTCCTGCACAGCACAAAAGCAGCTTCATTAAGCAACCCTTTAACAAATGAAAATTTGTCTGCTCTTCTCTTTGGAAGAAGCAGAGCCCTGAACTTATTAAATAAATAAATAAAAAGAAGAAGAGGGAAGACACAAGGCACCAGAGTGTCTCCAGTGCAGTTTCCCACCAGTATTGGTGCTAGAAAGTTACAGGTTTTGCAGTTTCAAATCCTCTTTTAATCTATGTGAAGCTAATGTTGCTAACATCTGCCTGCACTGCAGGTTGGTATGGAAAGCTTCAATACCTCACAGCCTTGAATCAACAGTATGAACCTCTGCAAGGACTAACTAACTTCCTTCTCATTTGCAGCCTTTTCCGCAGACACATCTTCCAAAAACAATAGTAAATAGGGCTGAATGAACGTGTCTTTGAAATTAAGAGGTTCCTGAGGCTGTTATATTGTGACACCTTAGTCTTACTGTGAGAGGAATCCTACCTTTGTCCATGGCAGTGACCCTCCTAGGCATCCAGATTTGACCCACGGCACCCTGAGCATCAGCTATGCTTGGGTAGTCCCACGGAAGTCAGTGAGGTTTGCTACTCTAAGTCCTTAATCCAAGTGAGAGAGAAATGGACTCCAGATGTTCAATATATCTTCCAAAATGGAAAGGAGTATTCATAATTGTTCAGATCATACAGATATACACATATTTTTATACAGTCTTTCTTGAACCAACCCTCAGTGACAGTTGGTATTAAGCAGTAACTCCAATAGTTGCTGTTGTAGTGGTCTTCTCTCCCATGGACTGGTCATTGGATGGACAAAGACATACATCCGCCAGCCAAATCAGCTGGTTGAAAAAGATTTTTTTTTCTTGATCTATTTCTGGAATAATTTTCCTTCTTTGTAGAAGATACCTGGCAACTTTTCCCAATCAACCTATTTTTTTTATTTCTTCTTGAAGCTTCTGTACTGATGAACTTGCAAAGAAAATGACTGATAAACAGAAAAGAAGCATTTAACTGCCCACTCTACTGGTTTCCTGAATCTCAAGACTACCCATTCTCAGCACTGAGCCGAGTTAAAGAAAAGGTAACAAAAAGCCATTCTCACCCTTCAGTAGCTCTGCATATAAGAAAGTTTTTGAAAATAAGACCAAACGGAGGCAAGTACCTCCGATTTATTTTGAGGCTGAAGATACGGCAAGGAAAGAGCCCTCCTGTTTCTTCTGCTGAGACTGGCAAAAGACAAAAAATATTACAGAATTCCCTGGACTACAGGAAAGTGCCAGCGAAGCTCCACTTGTGCAGCAGACACCGTGGAGGTTGTGTTAACTTGCCTCAAAGGGGCATGGATCACCTCTTGCCTCTCAGTGTATCCTGCCACTGACCAAACTTTTCCACTGCTTTTCAGATCAATTTAAGAACTTCGCAGTTGTGGTATGTAGTATTTCATCCTGGCAGAGGTTAGCCAATTAATATTTAGTCATCTGAGACAGAATTTCCTGAAATGCCCAAGTGATTTAAAAGCACAAGTCCTGTTAGGAGCCCCACTGAAAGTGGATAAACTCACATTCCTGAGCCACCTCAGACAATTTGGAAACTGCACTGCTGATGCCTAAGTGCGCATGCAGAAAGGTAGCCGACACCAATCACGCTTGCAGGACCCAGCCTCTCAAGTTACTCTTCTTTGACTTCTATCTTTTTTAGGATTCAGATTTTAGATGGGTGAACTGAACACTTGAGAGCAAAAGGAGAGGAATCTCCAACCACGCTTTCCCATATGCAGTTCATAGCAGCAGACGGCCCTCAGAGTTTCAGAAAATTCTTTCTTTATCATGCATATACATTCATTACTCTGTCATTTCAATTCCCTAGCTTGGGCTGTGTCAGCACTGTAGTGTGGTGGAGAGACAGATGAAGCAGCAAAGCCAGCAGTACACATTTAACAGCAGTAAAGAAATTAGATAATTTGGGGGTACAGGGGAACTAACCAAGCCTATGCACAGAGGAAACCACAAACATTTTTAAAAAGAAAAAAAAAAAATTCTCCATCAGTATTAACTCAGTTAAGAAAACTTCTGAAGTTCTGTATACAATTACAACCTTTTTCACCGTTTTGTTTTCACAAAACAGGTGTCACTGTTTTTAATATTACAAAATTTTTGTTTTCTGAGCAAGCACGCAAAAAGCAGGTGAAGACTCACCTATAAAGATCTGTATCATAATCCAGTGAAACAGCACAAAATGGGACATTTTAGCTGATGGAGACTCCAGGGCAGCGAGTGGAAGGAAAGAAAAGTAGATCTTATACTTTCTAGAGATGCTGAGTTAGCCCCACTGAAGTCTCATTTCTCCATTTCCAGATTTTATGTACTGCAACTGCTTCTTTCCTACGCTTCCGGATAGAAGCCAGTCAAAAGGGATGATTCTCCTGCTGTATTTAGCAATGGTGCGGCCTCACTTTGAGTACTGTGTGCAGTTCCGGGCCCCACAATTTAAGAAGGATGTTCAGGTCCTTGAATGCGTCCAGAGGAGGCCAACAAAGCTGGTGAAAGGGCTGGAGGGCATGTCCAATGAGGAGCAGCTGAGGACTCTGGGTTTGTCTAGTTTGGTCAAAAGGAGGTTGAGGGGGGACCTCATTGCTCTCTACAGCTTCCTGAGGAGGGGACATGGAAAGGGAGGTGCTGATCTCTTCTCCCTGGTATCCAGTGATAGGACGTGTGGGAATGGTTCAAAGCTGCGCCAGGGGAGGTTTAGACTGGACAATGGGAAGCATTTCTTTACCGAGAGGGTGGTCAAACACTGGAACAGGCTTCCTAGAGAGGTGGTCGATGCCCCAAGCCTGTCAGTGCTTAAGAAGCATTTGGACAATGCCCTTAACACCATGCTTTAACTGTTGGTCAGCCCAGTGGTCAGGCAGTTGGACTAGATGATCATTGTAGGTCCCTTCCAACTGAACTATTCTATTCCATCCCATTCCCATTCTATCCTATCCCATTCTATCCTATTGTCCTTTCCTCTTCCAAAACACTCAGCATGGTACTACCACCAGCGATTTCAATATACTGTGTGTTTTGCCTTTCCATGGAACTCTTAAGGCCCATTACCGTTCTGCGGTGCTGCGCAGCAAGAACAAGCTCTGTGCTCTTACACTCCTAAAAATTTGGCTTAGTCTCCACCTCTGACCTTGTCTTCGCTAACATTTTCTTAATCCCTTCATTTCCCCTGATTCTGCCTTCTGCTTGAAGACCCCTCTCTTTCTTTCCCCAGCTTCGTATTTTCTATTTGCAAAGACAGCCTTGGAGGAAGTCTCACAAATGTTTTCTCGCCAAAACAATGTCCTTCCCAAAGATCTGCAACACCATCTCCAAGAAGTATTTTTCACTCTTTCTGACTTTTTTTTACTTTCTGACCAATTGATAAAGAAGTTCTCTGGAAGTTCTTCTCTGGAAAAGATGAGTAATAAACCAAAAGTAATTCAGGGCATTAAGGTCAGGAATGAAGAATTGCAGATGGACAAAATTCTGTGCAAATAAATGTAGCATGGTGCAAACGGGAGAGCAATTCCAAGTTTTAATGATAAAATGATGGGCTTTAACCAGACATTACCCCCTCAGGAATGAGATTTTGGGCTTATCATGAGTAGTCAAGCCCATGAAAATATTACCCCTCTGCTTGGTAGCATAGAAAAAAGCAAATCAAATTTTAGCAGGTATTAGCAAAGCCATAGAAAACAAAGCAGAAGACAGTATTACACCACTCTACAGATCTACCTTGGATTCTATGTATAGTCCTAGTCCCTTCAAAAGCATAACTTAGATGCAGCAAGGGTACCAGGAAGGGCAAAAAGAATGGTGGAAAGTATGGAAGAGCTTCCACAGGAAGATTAGATGGGTAATCCGAGTCAGCCTTGAAAAGAGATAACCTAAGGGGCACCATGAACAGCTCTACAAAATCTTGAATAGCACAGGAAGGTTGAAGAGGGATTAGTTGTTCGATATCCCCCCCCCAACACAGCATCAGAGAAGGGCTCTTGTGCTTGCAGACCTGTTGGACTCAGTAGTACATTGGAGTAGGAGCATACCTCTCATTAGCATCCTCATCCATCACACCACCACTACGTTGCAGTGGCAAGAAGTAGATACCCAACAAACTAGGCTACAGCAAAGCCAGGATGCCTGGTTTCTTTCACCAGCATGTAGCCAACTTAGTGGCAGCTTGAAGCTCAGAGAACTATTCTGACTTTATTCTGAATTGAAGTGATGCCGGAATGCTGCTCTGTACCTTCACATGCTTCAGTGCAGCATAAACAGCAACCAGTGGGGACAGACACAACAATACAGCAGTGTCTTATTGTCAACAGTGTAAGGCAGGTTAACCAGCAATCGGTAAAATATCTGATTTGCTATGTTCTACCAGGTACAGTTCGTACAGTGCCAAGTACACACAACCCCAGCTGTTTTGTGAACAGAACTAATGAAACCTGATGTGTCCAATATCCTGGAGACTTTTTCCCTGCAATGATCCCAGTTTCTCCTTTGTCTCCCATTAAGCAGTGCCTGCAAGCCCATGCCCAGCTGATGCCAGTGCAGGGAGCAGCTGAATGCCACCTGGGGCACAAATTTGGAGCTTTATCCAGCTACTAATTTCCATGAAGCTTGTCAAAGCAGAATTGGTCAGTATGTTGCAGGTGACTAGGGAAGGAAGAGGATAAACACAGCATCACGTCAGCTCTGTTTCTTTAGCAAGACTGGGCTAAATGCAGCAGAGTAGAAAAAGGCCACCCAAAATCCAAGTGTGCTGGGAAGAACCATAAAAATATGCCTTGCTTTCTGCTCCTGTACTGCTATCTAGTGGCTTCTTGCAGGCAGAAAAGGAAAGGCAGAGAGCTGTCTCAAAAACATCAGTATGCAGCTCGTTAGCCGTATCACGCTCAATGTGCTGCCAGTTTGTGTGCAGCTGGATAATCTCTTAATGGGTGAACCGGCTCCAAGTGCTACCTGCTCATCTCTGGGGCTCATTTTGAAATGCCTGTTCCAAGATCCACTGACACAAGCAGAAGTAATGAAAAACCACACGGAGCTTCTGCCTGCATGTATTTGTATGTATTATACTGCATATCCAAGGCAAAGTTCTTGCTCCGCACAACCTTTGCAAAGTCTGTTTACCAAGTAACTGCACAGCAGAAAGGAAACTTTAATAAAGATTTTGGTTATTAGATATTCTAGAACTTTATTTTACATGGAAAACTCGATGAATTAGCCTGTAATATTAAGAAAAAAATCCTTATGGGCAAGCAGTTTTCATGATTAGCAGTCTTAAGCATGGTCCTCAAACTCCTTAAGAGCATGAGTGGTTGGAATCAGATAATTTTGGAAACCCCACAGTTGTCTAACTCTGACCCCAGTAGAGATTGATTTGGTAAAATTGCAGAAAGAAGAAATTGCTGAAGATGTTTTCTGAGATTTAGTTCACAGACCAGATCAGACTTCCTCCTGCTCCAGTCATGGGCTAGAGCCTGCAGCAGCAACATGCTCAGCCAGGCAGAAGGAAAGCAACATCTGCAGTAGGGTCAGTAATTTTCGTCTAGTAATTGCTACTAACAGTCAAATACAAAAATACAGTCTAACACCAGCAGGTCCTTTCTAGTTTCGGTACCTTCTTACACAAAGCAACACGTGACATGAAGACAGAAAGTGGCAGAGCTGGTTTCCTCCATCACTTTTCCTGGCCCAGGGACCAGTAATCACCTACTATCTGTGCTCCCACGCTGAGCTCTTCAGTCAACCATGAATTCACCTCTGCATTTTCAACCTTTTAGGCCTGCTCCAACAGACAGCCCCAAGACAACGCACAGCACAAGTGAACATACAAAGCACACCAGGGTCACCTGTGCCAACTTGCTTTCCATTTCTTCCTTCCTCAGCAGGATGAGGAGACTCTCCCTCCTTCGTGAGCCTTTACAAGCACACTCACCTGCAATATCCCACCTTAGCCAGGCTCTCCAGGACTCCTGGGGAAAAACACTCCCCTCCCCAGCCAGCTCAAGCCCTCCCATCGCTACCAGCTAGGGGAAGGAGGGGTAACTGCTCCACTGACCCCAGCTCCCCTTAAAGCACAACCAGACCGTGGCCTCAAGTGTCTCAGCTGTTAACATAAATACCTACTGATTTGATTATTGCTTCTTTATACCTCATTGTATAATACAGCTTTGTTCTTTGCATGACTCCCTCAAAAATGACAAACTCAACAATAGAAAGTTTCGGTAAGTCTGTGAGTCTTCCCTGTGGCAGCAACGTCTGCTTTAGGTATTCCACACTGCTGCTTGGGATGAGCCTCAGGGCAAAATCTGTACTGACCAATATTTGGCAAGAGTTGGTCTCCCTCCTGCCTGTACTACTTTTGTGCTCTTTCAGGAAGTCCCCAGCCTCTATTTAAAAATGTGTTCTTAAAAAAGATTGGGGAAAATTATTCTTCCACTTAAAGCTGATTCGGGTGTGTTGCGTCTATTGCTCAACAATGCATAAAATGTTGATTCATACTCATGGGGCTGCCTCAATTTATTTAAGTAAACCAAATTTTAGTGTTGCAGAGAATAAAAGCCGAGAGCCACGTCTAACTGAGGAGCAATGGAGGAAAGGCACTAGGCCACAGATACTCCCTGTTTATGAGCTAAAGGCCATCGAACAAATCCAGCATGAGACATTAGAATTGTTTGGTATCTAGAGGGGTGTAAAGGCAGGGCAAACTTTCAGCCAATATTTTGTGCAATGCCCATGACTTCTCCACAAGCTAAGAAAAGTAAGAATTTAATTAACTTTACAAAGTAGTTATTTTTTTGTTCAGTTGTTTTAGAGGCCTGAGACTTTCCCCCCTGAGGACTTCTCAGGACATAGGCAGGCCCGAGGAGAAAGCCACAGAAAAAGTGATGTATTTTGCAGAGGAAAACACACTTAGTCACAGTTCTCTAAAAACAAGCCGTGAATATTCTGCACATTGAAGTACTGATCCTGTAGGCTCCGAGGACACCCCATGAGTGGGTGAGCATCAATACCTCCTCCAGATTTAACTGTGGGTGGACAGGAATTAGTACATTGCAATTACTGAGCTGTTACCAGGACTGGGTATACCTGACTTCAGTGAAAATTCAACTAAATGTATATTGAAATACTAGTACCACCAAGTTTTTCCATGCGTCATCTTTGTCACGGCAGCTATGAGATTGCGTCTGCCCTCCGATGGCATGGACTCTTCTGTAGCTGGCAGATACAATACAGTGAAGACAAACTTTTAAAAAATGTGTGCGGTTTTCCTTTTGTGATGGAGTAGCCATTCTAGCACTTCCTCTTTTTTCCAAAAAGGAAGAGAGAATTTGAAGCAGATAATAAATATAATGGTAACTTTCTTTAGGGTTTGATAAGTGGATTCTAGAATTTTCCATTCAAGCCAGTAGGGTTTCTGTTTCTGGAACAAGCTGATAAAGTTCTTAAAAGCTACGCTTCTAATTATTTGTTTTATTAGAATGATGTGAATAATGCTTCAGTAGTCCAGTCACCTTTAGCTGCTCAGCAGAGGGAGCAGCTAACATTTTGCAAACTATTTAATGTCCCAGCAATGACAAAGGCAAGCATGCATATGGTCCTTAGTGTATTATATAAATGTTTTCCTCTGCATGGATCTCATCTTCCAGGGCACTATGGTTCCCTGCACGTTCTGGTCTCCAATATGCAATGAAGCTGCACAAAAGAGTAAAAACCATGCTGTTAAACAAAAACCAGACAATAGAAACACAGAAGAGCAGATAGGTAAATCAACCAGCTCACTGGAAAAAAGTAAAATATGCAAAAACACAAACATGACTGATGAGTCATTTTTCCACTTGAGACATCCATACTTATAGTTTGCATGCTCCCTAATGCAATGAACTGACAGTTATACTCATTTTTGCTTACTAACTAATGATAAGCAGCAGGATTTATTAATTTCTTTTTGCAATGTTTCCTATTAACTTGAGATTAAAAAAGAAAGTCAAAGTATGTGGTGGAGCGGTCAGCATACTGACAACATTTTCTTTCTGCAATCTAGTTTGTCCTATTAGTTAAAGCAGAAACAGAATACTTACTTTGCAAAGTCACCCATCTTCTTTGTATTGTATAAATATTCTAAGGACCATCCAGAATGAAAATAAAGAAAAAAGAAAGAAAACAATTTTCTTTAAGCCATCAGAAGCAAGTAAAGTAGAGAGTTAAAAAAAAAAAAAAAATTCAAGAGTAAGAAACTAAATAAGGGAACTTTAAGCAGATGTTTTCAGTATAGGAAATCCCTATTATTTCCATGAGATCTAATTCATATGGCTTGGTCTGACCAGGAGCCTCTACGGAGAAAGTCTGGCACATAGAAAAATACCGGATATAGTTATATGAAGCCAGTGCCTCTCCCATTGGGAAAGACTGGGACAAGACGGCAACTGAGGAATGGGTAGGAGGAAATGAGCAGGGCAGGGGATGTGGGCTTGTATCATGCATCTCCTCCCCACACTGTGGGTCGACTGATTGCTAAGGAGTCTGAAACATAAAATGACAAGACCACATTGGCACCTTGCTGTTCTGTGCCCCAGAGGCTAAGGGGAAGAGCTGAGCAAGCAACCACAGCACAGGGCACGGAGTGAGGCCATCCAGAGACCTTAGCTCACTTCCCTGAAGCAGAAGACATGTGGCATCTGCCACAGCTGCGATCAGACATAGCTGACCAATCCTTGAATAACCACCTGTGAAAACGACTTACGTCTAGTGATGAACAGAGCCAAAATAAGGATGGCTAGAAGAACCGCACATAAGCCAATCCCAATGTATAGCCCATTTTCTGAATACTGCTGACTGGGATGCAACACAGACGCATTCTGTCAAACATGGAACAGATGAGCATTAGTGGCACTGACAGCAAGAAGCCCATACAGTACCCAAAGGCCATTTGTGTCTTTTGCAACCCTGCAGTAGAAGTACACTTGAGAGCAAGAGCCTAATTTGAGATACAGGACTAGTTTCAAGCAGAATCACTGCAACAAGTTGTGTAAACCATGCTGTTAAACACATTGTCTTTTGAGATTGTCAAAGGACCTGAAGTTATGACAAATCCCATTTGTTCAGGTTTAATACTATTTGGTGAATATCTTATTTTTTATGATTAAAATATCTCCTGATGTCACACCCTCCCTCCTTTTTGTCAGCTTATTCAGTAGTTATTCAAGGCTTTATACCGGTAAGTAAATATGCCTTCTCCTTGCATTGGTCTTTATCTAGGCAAAACTTCTTTCTGAAGCCAGCCGTTAGATATGTAACCTGTCATTAGGAACTCAGGCCTGGAAAGACGCTGAAGCACAGTATGGTCTCTGACTTACATTCTGCACATGCAGCAGAATGTATGAATGCCCACAGCACATACTGCCTTGTTGTACATCACAGCAGGCCTTCCCAAAGGCTAGCTTGGCTGTCTTGCCTTCCTGATAAAATTTGGGTGCTTGTCACCCTGCAGTATGTGCTGGAGGACTCAGCAGGACAGACACAGAGCTGCCTGTTTGAACCCCATTGCACAGGAAGTGCAGGGCATCCCTGTGCTGTCAGGTGGTCCAATTTCAACTCTTCCCATATCCTGCCATACCTGCAGGTTTGAAGTTACATCCAAGCAGTCTGAGGCGCTTGAGCAGGGACCAGAGGCCTGAAAGGCAATATAGATATTGCTAAAGCTCTTCCTGCATTAGTAGGAAGTACTTTATGCATGCAAAGCAGTTTTTTTTTTCCCTCTTTAATAATGAACACATAAGCATTCTTTCATAAGCACTAAACATGCAGACTAAAAAAAAAATATTCTTTCGCAATCAAACTAAAGCAGTAAAAGTTAACTGTAGGGATAACCCAATAACCTCTCTTGTCTATCCACTTTGTCTAGCTATGCTATAGCACAGAGATACTTACAGTCTGAGGAGCTTCCGAAGCAGAAACCAATGGCCACGTTCTTGTGATGGTAAAGGATGATTCACTGGTGCTCCCATGAGCTGAGCAAAGGCAAGACAAACACATCACTTGCACAGAGAACCACTCTGCCTTGACAGAGAGGAATTTGTACTGCTGACTTGGGACCACCAAACTTAAATCGCTCTCTATCAGGAGTCTTGGCTCTGTATATTATAAAGAAGTTGGTGCCTTCAGAGGGCAGCACAAAACTCTGAATACCCGAGCCTCTGCTGTCCTTTTCAGAGCTTTGAATTCCTTCCAGGAAACACCTAGCTCTTGCTGTTATCTCAGCACAGGGCCTAGAAGGAAGGAGTTACCAAGGCAGGCTCTGTTTTTGGATCCAAGAAGAGGCAGCGGATGCCTAAAGCAAACTTAGGTTATCTGATGAAAACTGATTAAGGTCAGCTCAGGGCCTTGAAAGAGCAAGTGGTGCAGAGTTAGAGAAAGCAAGCGATACTTTTAAAGTACCGGATGGCTATACAGTAAACAGACTGACCAAAGTGTGATATGTTTGCATAAGGACCTGCAGCATATTTTGAGGTAATTTCCCAGAGCAAAGCTGTTTGCAATATTTAAAATTCAGAGCTACAAACTTAGGTCTTCCGTATCATCAGTCTCAGTTTCTCCATGTGATGTCAGATGAGACTGAAAACAAAACCTCCTGTTCACATTATGACAACCCCAGCTGGTTCCTTTGATGTTTTTAATTGTTACCCTTATCCCAGAACTTTGTTTTGAAGAGGGCAGGATCATCTGCTTCACTGTTCTCTTCCATTGGAGATGCTGGAATATTCCTACATCAGAGGCACAGGGCCACCTGCCTTTTCCAGTCTCTCTCTGCGTGAACATGCACATATTAACTCGTATTCTGAGAACATAAAAAATTGTTCCAGCAGCAGCTAAGGAAGATGTGACAGGGTTAAGAAAACCCGTGAGTTCTAAGATTGGAAGCCATGTTATTTGCAACTAGAACAGAAACAGTCTGAGAAAGCTTTCACTTCTTCTTCCAAAAAGGAAATGCAACTGTTGTAATACTTGAGAGCTGCTTAGCTGGAAACATCTGAAATGGAGGGAGAAATACAAATGGCATCCCTGATTTTTCTTTCAAAATCCAGAGAATAAGCTATTGTTACACTATGAGCTCTCTCTTGTGTACTGGAAATTAAAGTTGTCTTTTTCAGACTGAAAAAAATGCAGCTGAGTGGGTGTACCATATAAGTCTATAAACTTGTGAGTGGAATGGAGAAACCAAGTGAGGAATAGTTGTTCACTGTCTCTTCCACTACAATGAGGGGCCTCACATTATTAAATATGCATAGGCTACAGAGGACAGGGGCAGCCTCTGAGACACACATTATACCAGGGTAGAAGAATACTTTGGCGCTGTATCACAAAGTTACTGCCCTGTTTCTATGATCCTCCTTAATCATCTGCAGTCGACTGCTACTGAGATAGGATCCTGAACTAGATGCACTTTTGAGATAGTCCAATAAAACAGTTCTATGTTATAGAGCAACAAATAAATCGATTAAATAGTGGGCACACCCAACTTCTAAACATTTGTTTTACTGTTCACAGGATGCATTTCCAGAAGACAAGGTGAGATTTTATACCACAAAGAAAACAACATACGAAAACAACAGCCACAAGAAAAACAATGCTTGCAGCACCAATAAAACATCTACTTAAGCATAACACCTGGAAACAAACTTCCTCCCACGTATACGTGTTCCTTCTGTTGGACTCTCAATATAATGTCAGGCAGAATTTAAATCCAAGTTCTGATCTCTGGTTCTATGGTAATGTTCAGTAAATTTTAGCCAAGACATTTCTATAATCTATCATTTTGTTTCCTTCCTAAGATCCCCATTTGCCATATAGCTTATATATGATATTGAGATTAATACTTGGATAAAAGTTACCTGAGGTCTGTTCAGACGTGTAAATGTGAGGACTTGCAGTAGAGATCCTAGCTGATGTTAAAAAATAAAACCAACATACATTATAATTAACTTTAGTGTGCATTTATGTAGTGAAAAAGTGTTTCTATAATAAAAATTTACTAGCGCCAGCTACACAAGTACATCTGTCAGCCACTTGTTCCATACATTATTATGCTCTTTACAAACAAAAGAAAAAATAAAAATCAAAGGAAGAGTTGATAAAAAAAAATTGTCTATACTAATTTTGTGTCCCTGGGCTTTACTCTGGAATCAAGCAGGGAAAATGAAGCACCATTTTCTATGAAAAGGGTGCAAATATAGCACTTCAGATGAATTAAGTTCCCTATGCTGCCCTTCCTCTTAAATTCTTCAAACAGTGCTTCAAAGCTCAGTAGTGCTGTGCACCATGAAACAAAGAATCATGTCCTTTTTTTAACTGCAGTGACTGTGCTGGGATTACAACAATGCCAAATACAGCTTAATTTAAACAGCACTAACAGCAGAACTGCAAAGTCCTAAAGATCAGTCCTATGGATGATTATAGAGATCATTTCCACCACAAGCTTTGAAATCCAGACTCAACAGCAGATTTACCACAATAGTACTGACACAAGAGAGCACCTCTGCACTCACCTTTCTCTATCACAACCTTGTGATTACTTGTCTGATCATTGAACCACCCCAAGATCTCGACGCGGCAACAGTATATCCCACTGTCTCCTTCCTCGGCGTTCACGATCGTGAGGGACACGTCACCCATCAGCAGGTTCCCTTTCAACATATACCTGCTGTTGTACTGCTCTGTCACCTTCCATCCATCTGTCCAGATAATGGTCTGGTAACATTTTGAAACAGGGCAGCTGTCACGACCCCAGCACATTGACGTGATGTCTTGTGTCCTCTTAACAGTGTAAAAGCAGGGCACAGTGATATTCTGACCAACCTTTCCTTTCACAAGTGATCCCGATACCGTGGGGCCTGTGGACAAAAAGACAAACGTAGTTGCTGAGCACAGCGCATACAAGCGGAAGCTTCTCGCGCATCTTGCATGACCTGATACCTCCCATCTCACAAACACCACCAAGCATTGCTGGATTGGGTTTTCCATGAACAGATGTGAATCCCAGCAGGACTGACGCAGTGAGGGATAACGATCAGGCCAGTGATTTGTTCAGAATGTGTCTCTAGCCAGAGAAAGAAGAAACACACTTTCTGCAGCTTCTGCAGGTAGACAGAGAGGTGAAGAGAGAACAGAGTTTGGATCTGCACAACTCAGTGGCTTCTCTTCAGCCATGTCCGGTTTGTTAGCTCTTTATTTTTTTCCTTAGTTCAGACCTAATCCAAGCTACACATGGGGGAACAGTAAGGCATTGACTTTCATTAAAACTATTGTGGGAAACTCTTCCTCCCTTTCAATGAAAACCTGCCATTTAGTTGCTTTCGTCAGAATAACCACTGCTGAACACATTTCCTCTTTTCTTGCCTAATGACAGATTTTGCCTATTCCTATCAGAAGAGATTTTTCAGAGCTTTTCTGAGAAATTTTATACCCTCTTTTTTCACTGCCTTATTTTCTTCGCTCATTGTTATGCAGTTTCTAACTGCATAATGGTTCCCGTTAAGAGTAATTTTTCACATTTCCAGAAGGCTGTGTCACGCTATTCAAGTCAAAACAGTGAGACCTAGCAGCCAGTAGCCCATTCATCAGAGTGAGATAGTTTATTTTGCTGTATTTAGACCACTCCAGTCAATATTCCCTTTAGGAGGATTTTAATAAAAGCTGTACTAAGTGCCAGCTATTTGTGCTCTGGTGATCCAGTCACAGCCATCCTGTAACCACCTTCTTTTAACAGGTTACGCAGTGGGGCTCCTGAGGTGTACATTCTGTCTGCTTGTACTTCAAAGAAAATTGTTTGCCATATACTTACCGCTACACATTTCTTATCAAATTCAGTAACATGGGATCACATGTGTAAATATTTCGATCTATCCATATTAACATTTCAGGGATAGAATTCTCTGCAGCAAGTATAGGCAACAAATTATCTCTATTAAAAGTCTAGCCCAGTCTATAATTAGGAAGGGAGCTCCCCGAGGCAGGTCTGCCAACATGCACCGGTGGATCCTAAGCACTGTATGGCTTGACTGCAATTGTCCCTTGTGAAAAAGCTGTTTTCCCCAGCTCAGCTCAGTCATTTTCCTAACCTAAGCTATTATAGTTAAAAATAAGTCTGCATTCAGAGACTTTGCCACAATAGCATATTAGAAACTAATCTCTGAAAATAATGTATGCTATTTAATATAAAAAAGCAAGCTGTGAATTAATCTCACCATAAATGGCTTTATAAAGAAACAGATGAAATAATATCTGTAACATCCCTTTTCTTTCTACTGAACACATTCTACCACCAGATTTTTAATGTCTATCTGCCTATACCAGTACCAGTCTGCAACCTGTTGTTTTCAGTGCTATTGCCTTTAACAGTATTTTCCTAGGAGGACTGCTTTCTCAGAATAAAAAAGGAGAAATTATCAATTTGTCCCAATAAAATTTCATATTGGCTAAAAAACACCAGAAGCCACAGCTGACCTTTTCCCTGTCTTCCTAAGCATTCACCTTCACAAAGCCTGTTGACGTGAAATACCCTTGGTTTATATCTTTTCTAAAATGCTTTGAAGTTCTCTGCTCATCTCAGATCATCATTATCTAAAAAACCAAAAAAATCATTCACTAATAAGACTAGCAGACCACCCAAGAAGCAGTGTCTTTAAAACCATCATACCCTCAACATGATTTTGTTTTAAAAAGGAGATAAGGGCATCAGAAGACTATTAAGCCACTGTGATAAAGTTCTATGCGTAACACGAAATTGCAGTTTCTGTGCCATGGGGCCACTCTTCCCATTGCAACATAAAATCTCTCCCTTTGCAACCCTCAGAAACATTGATGCATGTTACCTCCATCCACTTCCACCCATTCATTTAGGCCCACTTAGTTACCTGTAAACAGGATCAGAAGAATCCAGTTCATGCAGAAATAAGATGACATTGTGGCTGAAGACGAGGAACAACACTCCCGTTCACCCTTCGGGCACCTACATTCAAGAAAACATCTTCTTCGTAAACTTCTGGTTTTGCTTCTTAGTAAGTAATCTCCAGACACAGCTGAGAATGCCCTTTAGTCTAGTCTGGATTGCCTTTCCTGTGGTTAGTCTGTTAGTCTCTAGCAGTACAGCCAAACGCTGCTGCCGATAGTGTATGCAGCTGCTCTCGCTGACTGTGGTTTGACTAAAAGGCTAAATACTTCACAGCACTTCAGAAAAGTACTTCTCGTTTTTTCCAGATCTGCTTGATTACAGTAGATGAAACTGTTACCAGCACCACCGAGCTGGCACAACTATCAGTAATCCATTGCCCATACTGCTTCCTGCACCTTTTTTTTGCCACACTAGATAGAATTTGGATAAGAGATTATATAGGGTAACAGACTATGGTAAACAGAAAGGACTTGGCAAAATAACAGATTCCTAGGAAGACTTACTCAAGCATTTAATCACATTTCTGGTTTTAATACTTAGAAGCAGCTCAGAGCATCTTTAGGCAAATGCTATTTTCTTTGTAGGCTATAACTTGGTAGTATGGGAAAGCTGCCCTACTGTTACACCATTGTAGCTTAACAGAGTTACAGTCTTTCATCATCTGACTCTTAAAAATTCTGTATGTATCTGGGCTTTTGCAACATAAAGTAACACACACAGAATACAGAGGTCATTTTAAAAGTAGTGTGAAAACCACGTGGTCTCAGGCTCAAGGCTCGCTTTGACAAAATGTTGCTGAAATACAGCTTTTGAGAAATGGTGTTCCCTGGCCACTCTCCCTGTCCCCAGATTACCTAACTCTTCTTGAGGACATCTTGTCTTTTCATATTGTTTGGACTAGAACTGCAACTGTGATCAAGTGTATTTGATCTAGGGCCAACAAATGTTCTTTGCTGAAGTAACTAATCTACTCAGTTTTATACAGACAAAATTAAGTTGTAAGGAGTTACTTTTTTTATTAGTATAACTGAATAATAATAATATTATAATATATTATATATAATATATATTATAATATAATAATAATATAACTGAATAACTGAAACAGCAGAAATGCTTCCAAAAACAGACCCAAAACCATACATTAGGCTAGAATCAGAACCAACAGAGCTGTCTGGCACTGACTGCTTTACATGAGAACAAGTCACCAAAGTAACAGTTTCTTTAAGTGAAAAGGAAGAAAATCAAGGGATTAAAGTAGTCAAGAGACAAACACTAGCAACATACCTGTAGGAAAGAGCTGAGGGAAGGAGGGAGAAAGGGTGTTTTTTGTATGCAGTGGCTAGAAGCAGGACTCTTAAGAAAATGCCTCCTCTTCACTCCTCTTGTTTCTGGGGAAACAGGAAACTGCAGATAGCTGCTACAGGAACAATTCTGATCATTAATGGCAGGATCCTGAAACTGCTCTGCACAAAAGGAAAAGGCAGGGCAACCTGGCTCTGGCAGAAGGTGGGTGACCACATTCACCACAGCCGTGCCATGATAGTGCATGGCACCAGGTGATGACTCCTCTTGGCGCTTCAGCGTGTGACAAACATCCACCTGCAGACCAGGACACGTCCCTTCTGCCAGTTACCTGCAATAACGTGCAGTGTGCATGGGTCCACATGGATTCCTCCTGTGCACGGGCCATGTCTGAGTTCTGAAATAAATAAATAGGGTAAGAAAGTAAGGACACTGTTATCCCAGAGCTCTGCTTGAGCCCATTCTACTCACTTCACCCACGTTGCTTCGTTCATATGATAGTCTACAGTAGTTTGGGAGCCATCTACTGGCTGTATCCCCAGGAAAGCCTTTCTGGTCACACAGTAAGAGAATGTGAGAGCTACAGGGCAACAGTTACCCCACATGCTTTAGATTTCATCTCAAACACAGACCATATGGAATGTCTCGATATAATTTCTGAGTTTCTACATACCTGTTTTGCAAGTTCCTGGTTTTTGTTTGTGCAAGAAATGAGCACCATTTCTGTAGAAAAGGTGCCAATGTCATCTTTTTCATGCAGCCCTTAAAGTAGCAGCACATTTTTTCTTGACTCAGAGCATATAGTCAGATCATATTTTGTGAAAATAAAACCAAACCAAAACATTAAATACTGAAATAAGTTTAAAGCATTGCTGGAAACATCTCTTCATTGCACTATTTTAAAGCCATATCATTAAATAGCTTTTCTTCTTTTCCTCCTAGATGATCAGAGCTACAAACTTTCCCCTTTTATCCACCGGTGACACACTTGGCTTCTCTGTATCAAGAAACTTTTGGAACTTTTCAAGTAACTGTACTTCTGCTATCCCTGTGCTTGTTCAGATAGTGTAATGGAAGGGCTGGGCTTTTTTCTTTCCTTTTCTTTTTAATTTAGAAAACATCCAACAAAATGCTGCTTAACACCTGATGTTAACTTTATCTCATCACATTTCATAAGGCATATATAATCCAACACATATTGTATACATTAACATTTCAGGGGTAGAATACTTCAAATGTTATCACATCCAAAAATAAAATCAGGATTTGCTGAGGTAAGGAAAGATCTCATCATCAGGAGCAGGTTAATTAACACACTAGAGAAGACAACATTTATAAACAAATTTGCTAGTCAGTGAGTCACATCATCCTACGAAATGCCCGTTTCCCTGGACTAACAGGCATATGCCACCCACTGCCTTCACTGCAGCTACAGCCCGTTGCTTTCCCAAAAGCAAGTTGTAACAGAAAAAGGGAAAGCTATCACTGCTTTGACATGGCAACGGAGGAAAAAGTCAATGTTTTGGCTGAAAAACGCCCAGGGAGGCTCCCGCAGCTTTCTAAGGGTTTGCCTTAAACATAGAAAAAAATAATCTAGAATAAACAAATTATTTGTGAACCTTTTTGGAAAGTGAAAGCAGCCTTAAGTATTTTTTAAATGACATGATCCCCGTTTACCTCAATGGTTTCACAAAAAAGTTCATTGCAATCATTACTTGCTGCTAGGACCCAGCTTGTGCAGTATTTTGTAACTATGGTACCCAGGCCTATGACTTTGTTAAAAGCATAAAAATTAGGAAAAAATTAATAGAAAACCATTGAGCATCTATGACGGTTCTTTTTGAATGGCAAAGTTAAAACATCCGTGACAAACTGTAGTTCCACAGTGCACGACCTCTCTTATCCAGGAGGCACTAAATGTTTCTTCACATCTTCCACGTGAAACAACATTTGCAAAGTAGATACCAAATTAATTCTGCTCACTTGCAACTGGTTTAGTTACCTACAAGCAATATAATTTAGATCTAGTCTGAGGAGAAGGAAGGAAACGGTGGTTGAATAAAGGACAAAAGTGTTCACTTTGTAAAATTATTTACACATTTCTACTAAAACATGTTTCTACTTCTTTATTGTTACTTACGATGTCATGTGCACCTAAAAGAGCAGATGATGTCCTCCAGTGAGTCACAGACTTGCTTCAGTTCATTTCATCTTTATCTGCACCGAGCTCAATCCCCACCACCCAACAGCTAAGTACTTTTGCCCGCCCATTTCTGAAAACAGAATGATCAAGTGAAACAGAGACATAGCTTGTTACATCACGGTTAAAAACAGAGTTTGTGTGAGTACCCTCACCCATAAAGTTTACCTGGTTTTTAGCTGCTGTACATACTTTGGAAAACATACATAATGTATGTTTTACACAGCAAAAAGACAGAAGTAGGATTTCCCTGCCACAAGGGGCAGGGTAAAGAAGCCACTTCTTAACTATCAAATCACTCTTCCTCTCGCTATGGGCGGGTTGATCCAACTCAAATGTTCTTTAAACATGGCTGATATGGCTTCCACTTGATGGAATACTTGCAGGTTCTTTCAAACTCAGAAGTTCTCAAATAGTATAAAGGCTAATTAACCAATCAAACTCTCCTTCCTGAGAAAAACGCTCAGCTGAGCACAGAGCCCACCTAAAAGGCAAATACAAAGCATCTGCACTGCAAAATTATTAACTTCATGCATGTATATTAACTATGCAGGAAATGTAAGTTAGTCTAAGCATTTATGTGTAAAAAAAAAAAAAGAGAAGGCATTTTTGTAAGCTCACAACTGCTTATGATGCACATCTAAGAAAATTAAAATCCAATTTATTTTAATTCATTTAGTTGTTGAAATTCTTGACAGTGTGTCTCTCTATAAAGCAAATTATACCACATTACATCTGTAATAAAGGAATGCTTAGGTTCTCTTTAGTACAGTTATATTATTACAAAGCTAGAAAGGAATGGATTTTGCAGACTTGACACTAATTTTGTTTTTAATATTGAATTATGCATACCTGAAAGGACCTACTGAAATTGTAAATAACTAGCACTTATTTGAAATGGAGGAACTGTCAACTGCAATTCCTCTCACTCAGATAGATCCCTTACTTGCTTCCACGCTACAAAGCAATTAAAAAATAAATTATGCATACCCAAAAAAGCAGAAAGTGACAAATGAAAGTACAACAGAAAAAGCTAACTTTAATCTGTGGCTTCCACCTCACATGATACATTTAACAAAAAATTTTTTATTTCTACCAATAAACACACAGCTCACAAAATATTAAACATTTTCATCTGCCTAGTCACTCACAACCTCCAACAGGCGTACAATAAATGCTTTGTCTGCTTGTACAACAGGAAAACAAAATACAACATACACCCTCAGAATTCATTCTGCCTCTCACTATGGCAAGCTAACAAAGTAAGACAGTGTTTTCTTCATGTCATTTCATCAATAATGCTACACATAGCTGCATCTTTGTCTAAAACCTGATCTCTCTTGCCACCGGAACGCTCCCTCTGTTTTTCGCTCTGTCCCATACAGCTGCTGCCATCATCAGTATCCATTGTTTCTGCTTTCACTCGCAGTCCTCCCTCTGAATGAGGCAGATCATCAGGCAAGGAAGCCAGGCAGTTCTGAATCATCTCTACAACTCGCTCTAAATGCTTCTGAAATCGCTCTGCTGTTTCCAAACGCTGACGTTTCTGCACCTCCATCATGACTCTCAGTGTCTCCCTAGCTTGGTGAGGACGATACTCATTTATAAGATGATGGACATGAACAAAAAGCAGTTTCAAGTCTTCCAGTTTCTCCTCTCGCTTTATACTCCCCGGACTCCTTATCAAGATATCCAAGAGGTCCAAAAAGTTGACCAGGATAGACATATTAAGTTTTCTTAATTCCTTCTTGTGATCGAACTGCATAGGATGTAACCGTTCAATACCCTGGCTCTCCAAGGGTCGAATAATCAGATCATCACATTGAAACTGATTACCAAACATCATGTAACTGTCTTTCACAGGTGGAGGTGGCTTTGGAGCCAGGCCTTTACGGATATTTTCATCGGTATATTCTTTTATATATTGCATTGGAGGTGGAGGAAGGGCACTCACTTGCTGAGGTTCACCCATTTTCGCCAGACAAAAATACCTAAGGAGTATCCCAAGAAACACATGTGAAACAATTTGTGTGACAACCTTATCATATAAATAGAAACAAATGCAATACAAGAGAGCTGGCTGTGAGAAAACGAACCAGAAGAAAGTCATCTTAATGTGTAGAATACAGGAAACTCCCAAATAAATCCAGTAGCTTTTCACTAAGGAATACTTTTAGCAGGATTAGCTACACTAGAAGGCCGTTAAGCATTCATTTCTCGAACATGAAAGAGCAGCCACAGGAAGAGAGGGGAGACCCCTTCCCTAGCTGAGGCCTGGCCAGGCAACACTACGGCCCGCGAGAGGGGAAACCGCGCAGCCCGGCGGCGGGCAAGCACCGCTCTCAGGGGAGGACGCGGCCTCGCGCCCCGGGTCCACAGCCGCCGACGACGACGACCTGCTCTGCTCTGGGCCGGGCCGGGCCAGGCTCTGGGAAGGCCCAAGCCCCGCCGCGGGGTTCGCCAGGCCCCTGCTGCAGAGAG